CTTCCGCCTCAGCCTTCCAAGTAGCTGGAATTACAGGCGTGCGCTACCACGCCCGGCTAAATTTTTGATTTTTTGTAGAGATGAGGTCTCGCCAAGTTCCCCAGGCGGGTCTCGAACCTGCGGGCTCAGGCAGTCCACTCACCTCAACCTCTCAAAGGCGTGGGATTACAGGCTGAGCCACCGAGCCTGGCAGGAAAATGTTTTCAATGTGCACTTGAAACATTTTTTTCCAGTGCTCTACATATTCAGAGACTCTTCTCTAGTAATAAACTATAGAAATGATCCCTAGAAGTATAGTTTTTCTTTTCTTTTTTTTTTTTTTTTTTTTTTTGAGTTGGAGTCTCACTCTGTCACCCAGACTGGAATGCAGTGGCCACTCTCGGCCACCGCAGCCTTGACCTGCTGGGCTCCAGCAATCCTTCCGCCTCAGCCTTCCAAGTAACTGGAATTACAGGCGTGCGCTACCACGCCTGGCTAATTTTTGATTTATTGTAGAGATGAGGTCTCATCAAGCTGCCCAGATGGGTCGCAAACCCACAGTCTCAGGCAATCCACTCATCTTAGCCTCCCAAAGCACTGGGATTATAGGCTGAGCCACAAAGCCCAGCTGAAGTATAGTGTTTCAATGTGCATTTTTTTTTTTTAATAAAATTTCAGTTCAGGGGCAGATAACTAGAATTAAGGAATTTGACACTGAAGACAGCTTCATTTATTTCTCTATTACAAAAATCTTGATGTATGGAAATCACTGATTTCTCAAAAGATTAAGGGAATCGAGTTGGAAACTTCTTTCTTTGGCATCACAGTTTAAAATTTAGACATAGGCCAGGCTCAGTGGCTTGGCCTGTAATCCTAGCACTTTGGGAGGCCGAGGTGAATGGATTGCCTGAGCCCGCGGGTTCAAGACCTACCTGGGCAACTTGACGACACCTCGTCTCTACAATAAACAAAAAATTAGCCGGGCATGGTAGCTTGCACCTGTTGTTTCGGCTACTTGTAAGGCTGAAGTGGAAGGATTGCTGGAGCCCAGCAGGTGGAGGCTGCGGTAGCCGGGAGTGTGCCATTGCACTCCAGTTTGTGTGAAAAAGTGAGACTCCAACTCAAAAATAAACAAATAAATAAATAAAATTGGAACGTATCATAAGACTCTTGTAGGGTTTCATGCAGATTTTTTGCCCCCTTCTTCCTTGCTGTTTCCTTTTTCTTTAAGCTGATATTAACTTCCTTCAGCTGGATGAATTGCTTTTGAGTTTTCCAGAATGAGAACCCCACTACAATGAACTCCCAAATTCTTGTTTGTTATTACTTATTCTTGAAAGCAGGACCTGTGAAATCCAAATAACCATGCCAGGTAGCCAGCTAACCAGACATCATTGTTTTGCTGGAATCTGACTCACCATTTGACAGGCAACCATTCAGGGTAGAGAGGTGTCTTCCAGTATCCTTAAAGACAAACAGTGGAGTTGTCTGCCTTACTAGGAGTATAAAGAGACAAAGCTGGTAATTCATAGCCTCATGTGACTGGTAGGAGTCTCAGAGGCCCTCTAGTCCAACTTTGCAATTCACAAAGTAATTTATTCTGCTCAAATTTGCAGCAGCCGTAGTACTCCAAACTCACTACTCTAGAGGAATCAGTCTCCAGCCAGAATGGATTTGGGAACACATGAGACAGATGCTCACTCTCTGGGCCTTGATGTCCCACTGTCCCTTCCCTCTCCCTGGTTGTAGAGATGAGCTGTCAATGTGTGGATGGCAAAGCTGACATTCTGCCACTCTGCTTCCACTAGTCCCCCAAAAAGACAGTCACATGATCCAGCACAGCCAGTTCCTGGGAGAGAGGTTAGGGGGTCATAAACTCAAGTGCCAGGGCCAACAGCTGAAATATAAGAGTGTTAGCCATGGGTTCAACACCAGCCCAGGCAACTGGGTAAGACCACGTCTCTACACTAAATAAAAAAAATTAGCTGGATGTGGTAGTGCATGCCTGTAGTTCCAGCTACTTGGAAGGCTGAGGCGGAAGGAGCGCTGGTGCCCAGCAGGTCAACACTAGGGTGGCGCACAGCCTGGGCGACGGAGTGAGAGTCCATCTCAAAAAAAAAAAAGAGTGTTAGCTGGGCATGGTGGCACATGTCTGTAGTTCCAGCTACTTGGAAGGCTAAGGCAGAAGGATCACCTGAGTCCAGCAGGTCAAGGCTGCAGTGGCCAGGAGTGTGCCACTGCACTCCAGCCTGGGTGACAAAGTGAGACTCCAACTCAAAAAAAAAGAGTGGCGTGACCACAGATAATATAACAGGGACCAGCAGGACTGTGGTGAATAGGAGAATACCTGCTTTAAAGGTTTAAAGGCTACTCACCCCCAGCTCATTATAGCCACGTGGGAGGGATATGAATCCAGCATTGCCAAACCTTTCCATTTTCCAAAAGATAATAAAATCTAAACTTTATTAAATTGCCCCGTTTTGTTTTGTTTTGTTTTGTTTTAGTTGGAGTCTCACTCTGTCACCCAGACTGGA